CGGGTGAAAGAAGAAATGACTCACATGATCAACTTTGAAGCATAGCCCGGGCCTGCTCTGTTAAAATTCCACCTGGGTGGCTTATTTTTCTACTCGGGTAGAAAGCCAAACCGGTGAGATGGCCGAGTCCATCTTTTCTCGGGCAAAACACTTTTCTTTTTTAGAAAGAATGATGAGATGCGTTAGACCGGGTAGATACAGCTCGGCTGTGGCCAAAGAGATTGAGAGTTCGAATAGCCGGGTCAAAAATAAAGGAAGAAAGTACAAAAAGGGAATAAGTACTCGGCCGGGTCAAAATCTTGTACCCAGCTGCTCAATATCCTGTACAGCCCACAGTGTTTTTGGTACTGACCGGTCCCAAACCCAAAAGTCCCAATGTCATCAATGAGTTGCATGGACACTTGGAAGAACCGGATGCCGACCTCCCGGTCAGGAAGTGCCTGGGCAACGAACTTCTTCGGTTCCTTGGCGGACTTGACCAAGCCTCAGGCTTGGCGAAGAGACACTGGTAGGCTTCGGCCTATTCGACCAGCTTCTCCTTCATTTTCCCGGATGCCAACCGGGCTTCCGCTGCATCCTTCCGGGCGGCGACCATCATGGCCTCCATCCAGAGCTTCTCATCCGTCTGGGACCTGACCGACCTGGTGGCCCACTCCTGCTCAATCCGGGTGAATTGCAAGTGAAAAATACGGGGAGGGGGGACTTTGATTTATATAGGGAACGTGCCACCCAGGAAGACCAATGGAAAAATAACACCGGGCAGATACTATAATAAGCAGTGATGACCTCTCGAGAAGGGGAAACGACATGACAATTAGGCGGTGACATACCGGTTTCCGTAAAATCTTTCCCGCCAACTTCACCTGGAAAATTCAAAATTATTCGATATTTGATTCACGCCCTTGATGGTGCCCACAAAGCCGGAAATCGGAGGACTCCTTGATGGGTATTACTCATTGGTACCACTCGGTAAGTTCACAAGCTCCAGGTAGGTACCAAAGTATGATCCCACTTGACCTCACTGTCCCCGTTAGTTAATCTGACCAGGTGGATGTTGGGGGTCAGACCGGTAAGATCAATAGCTTGAAGACTGTCCGGGTGGATGACCTGAAGATTGGCCGGCTTGAAGACTGCCCGGGTGGATGACTTGAAGACTGGTCGGCTTGAAGACTGCCCGGGTGAATGACTTAAAGACGGGCCAACTTGAAGACTGCCAGGGTGAATGACTTGAGATGAACATTAGTGTTGAAAAGTGTATTTTATTATTATTATTATTATTATTATTATTATTATTATTATTATTATTATAAATAGGAGTGAAAGCCTCATAAAGAAAGGAGGCACAAAATAATCCGCACGGCTTGTATACTTGTAAACGATCCCAACATTATTAATAACTAACTGGGTTACGGGTGTTCCCACCCACAACCTTTTCACTTATTCAGACTTAGTACTCACGTTGGTTTTACACCATCAGGAGTAAAGGTTAAAATATTTTAATAACGGCTCGGTTCTATGGCCACTGGATTCCAGTGGCCACGGAAGCCAATGGCCCTCTTCGGACACCTACGGTGCTCCGTTCATAAAATTGATGATTTCTACCCCCTAACCCCCTAGTAAACTCCCACCACCGAGTCTCGACCCCAACTCATCCCCCATCTACGTCAATTGCACCCCACAATTTTAGTTGACTTTGAAATCAATAGTTTTGACTTTTAAGTCAATTATACTTGTGGGGTGCAATTGACGTAGGTGGGGGGATGAGTTGGGGTCGGGACTAGGCGGGGAGATTTATTGGGAGGGTTAGGGGTAGGAATTATCAATTTTATGAACAGAGCACCGTAGAAGGGCAGTGGCTTCCGTGGCCACTGGAATCGAGTGATCATGGAACTTAGCCGTTTTAATAAACACAAGAAGTACATTTTAGCGTTCTTATTGTAAAATAAAGAACATCCATCATTCTTTTTTTTACTTTTTTTGAAACTGGAGTTTATATTGTGGTTCTCCATGTCATGTACGTCTCAGTTCCTCTTGAGTGTCGATGTGGGTTGTTGAGTTCCACTGTTAATCACCATTAGGGCGGTTCATATTTAGGTCCAGACCGAAAAAACCGACCGAACCGGATCGATAGGTCCACACCGAATATGGACCGAATAAATTTCGGGTTGGTCTTTGGTCCAGCTTTTTAAAAATTTCGGGTTTCGGTCCGGTCCGGTCCAAACCCGATTGCCATTCGGTCCGGACCGAGAAGACCGAAATTATCCATTTACTCTGTACTTTTGTTTTTTACCAGACATTTCCACGACAGGCCTGATTTACTCCCTTCCGTTTACTCCCTTTTCCTTTTGAGTTTGTAGATCTAATTTCATCTCTCTCTCTATATTTATTTTTTTCCTTTTCCAAGATTAGTAGCCTCTTCCATCTCCCTCTCCGTCAATCTGTCAACTTCTTCCTACAATCTCCGGATTCAGTCACTGCGCCACCACATCAGTCTCCCACCATGGCGCCGGCTTCAGACGGCAATAAGCAGAGCAGCGGGGCGCAACCACATCAGTCTCCCACCATTGCCTATCTCTTTAGTGTGCCGATGCCGAAAAATAATAGAGCAGTGACAAACTATTGGGTGGATTATAGGCAATTAGTCATTCGGTAATCCCTTTTTGATATTCTTCCAAATTAATTTCACTTTTATTTAAAACTTATCCATCCCTCAATTTTTTTATCCATATCTCAATTTTTTAAATTGTAAAAATTTGTATACAAATCAAAATTGGACTCTGGATTGTGAAAAGCAAGATATTACATCTGAAATTGAAACCTAAACTCTACGGAGCCTTTTCAGAAGCTTGGGTTCTGTCGGTCCTTTCGGTCTGAATAGGTTCGGTCCGTAATATTTCGGTCCGGTCCGGTCCAAGACCGAATACATTTAGGTCCGGTCTTCAGTCTGAGTTTTAGTGTAAATCGGTCTTCGGTCTGGTTCGGTCCGATCCGGTCCGGTTTTAGACCGATGAACACCCCTAATCACCAACACTCATCATGTGCCACTATTCACAATTTCACACATTTATGTCACAACCAAATTCCAATTTAAAAAAGATCAAACGAAACTTTTGTTTTAACAAAGTTTAAATTCTTAACTTTCAATTTTCTCATGTTTCTTCCAATTTTTCGTATTTCTTCCAATTTCTTCATGTTTTTTCTCGTTTCTTCCTGTTCTTCCAATTCCTTCTAGCTTCTTTCATTTCCTTCCAGTTCGTTCCAGTTCCTTCAAATTTCTTCCAGCTATTCTCATTTTCTTCAAATTATTTCTACTCCCCAACCAATTACTCTAACCACGATATATTTTTAATGTAATAATAATTATTATTACAATTGTTATGTTCATAACTATATTTTATAAATTATTTTTTTCATCTCACTATTTTTACGATTCACACTCATTATTTTCTCTTCAACTTTTTAATATGAATAAGCCAATTTTTTTATATTAATCTACATGATAAAACAGGAAGATATCAAAATTTTAAACTATAAAAAAATATTATGGATAAAATAGTTACGTAGAATGTTTTATTAATCTAACTTTCTATAAGTCCTCTCCTGGATAAAAAAAATATTATGGATAAAATAGTTACGTAGAATTTTTCTAATATTTATAAAAACAATTGTTGAAATCAAAGTAGTTTAGAGAAAAACACTAAAATAGGTGTAAAATATAAAAAATGCAAAAAAAGTTCTGTGTCTTTATTTCAAAAATAGAAGTTACAATGAAAGTTAAATGTCAATCTTGAAAGAAAAATAGGTTTAATTACATTATAAAACAAATTATAACTACAAATATAATACTTATAATAAACACTGCATTTTAATATTTATGCTAACTTTATATTATGATTATTTTTTAAAAAATTTTAAATTTAATATTTTGATATTTATGCTAACTTTATATTATTATTATTATTTTGTAAAAGTAATTTTTGTGTATGAAAAATAACAATACTTTTGTATCTTAAAGTTATTCATTAAGATAACGTGATAATTATGATGATGATGAAAATTATTATTACTATTATTATTATTATTATTACTATTATTATTATTGACGCCATGAGTGTCGAAGTTCTGACATTAAGAGATCATGCGAGTTAGTTTGAATCTATAACTTTTTCAGGAACAAGATTAAGGAGATTACGGAGTAAAAGTTTAACTCCGGAAGGCAGGGAAGCAAGATGATCTAATGTTGACGCCATGAGTGTCGAACGGTCCACCATCGCGGAAGACAAAGTAGCGGGTGGTCGACGGTTGCCGGAAAAAAGGGGAGACTAGCTGCTAAGCACGATCAAAGAAGAAGAATAGGGTTCGGAGCCTTAGCTCCAATACCATGATAGAATTTGATAAAATATTTGTCTTATTGAATAATGAAGTCTCAATGAGTATTATAGTGCAACATAGAGAATTCTAAATAATGTAGGAATATAATTATGATAATACAAGAATAAAGAAATAAAATAATATTGGGATTCTTCCTGTTAGAGTCTATGACAAAATGAAATTTTATATGTTTTTAGAATTTAATAACTAAATAAATAGTTATATATTGTTTTGAATTTTATATATAATATTGTTATTTAAAATAATAAGTCTCTATATGCCTATCAAATCCTCCTATAAATAATGCTAGGAGGATTTTATGAACAGTGTTCCCATCTAGAATATTCAATATAGGCTTAGTAATATGGGTCTGGGCTGACGGGTTTGGGCCTATTCCTAGGGATGGGCTAAATAAATTTCCTTTATGTCTAATCACTTTGAGTGGCTCCATAAAGTAGCATTGGGAAAAAAACTAAATTGAGTGGCTCCATAATTAGCATTGGAAAAACTAAATTTGAATGAAAGACAATTACAACTCATATTTGTCTTCTCGAGGTTGGACGGTTTAGTGGCTCAAGGCCACTTTATGTCCAATATAAATAAAAATTAAAATTTTACAACTCTTGGCATTTAATGTGGAGAGATGACTCATTTCATTTCAAACATATAGTATTTAAAGCCATTTAATGCTTTCATCATTCACAAGCACCAAATAATCTCTTTCCAAAAAAATTTCTCTTTCCAAATAATGGCTCAAACAAAAGAAATGAGCATGTGGGATGATCTGAGCAAAATTGACAATCGCAACACGACTTGGATGCTTCGGTTGAGGGCGGTTCGTGTGTACTTTATTCCCGCCTGGGCTAAAGGAGGAGATTTCATGGAGGTCATCTTTCATGATGAAAATGTAAGATATAAGAACACTACCATTTGCTTAGTTTATTTCATTTCCATGTCGTAGTCCATGCTTTATTTTGTTAATTCGTATTCTATATTCTGAAGAAGTCGAAAAAAATGCTTGGAAGCACAAATTGTTGAAGGCGGTATTTATGGAATTAGAAATGTGTTTGTTCATGATAACTACTTGTCATGCAAAAGAACCACATATTCTAAACTCTTAGTTTTTTACAATAAAACCCAAGTCAAAACCCTGAATGGAGACAATTTTTCAAAGATGATGTTTGAGTTAAAATCCTTTGATAGCATTCAAACTCAATCATGTTTGAACGATCAGCTTTTGATTCGTACAATTTCTTTGAAAATGAACCATTCAAATGCAAATAATCAAAAAGCATATTCATCATGTTTCTTATAAGCTATAATACTAAAAAGCACAGAATAAATGTAGTTTATAAGGGGGAAGCTTTTAAGATGTATGAAAAACTTTAATTATTTTATTGACTGTTATTGGACTTAGAAAAATGAAGGTGTAGTAGTCTAAAAACATTTAATATGTTGAACTCTTTTCATGTGAATGAAATTTGGCTGCCATATATGTATATAGATATCTTCTTTTATAAAAAAACATATATTTATAAATAAAAAATAAATATTTGTGTGTGTGTGTTTGTGTCTATAGACACACACACAGATATATATATATATATATATATATATATATATATATATATATATATATATATATATATATATATATATATATATATATATAAAGAGTTATATGTGCAATTCAACCTTTTTCATGTTCAACACATGTTATAGAACATGCATATTTAGGTTCAATGACTAGCCTTATGAATCAATGTGTACTCCCCATTTTCAAAATAATCTTTTTTGGACATAAAAACGAATAATTTATAGTTAGTTTTTGAAAATAGGGGACAAAATACAATTGCATAGAGAGAACTATTGCAAAAATTGACTTCTTAATAAGAACATAAAATTTAAACTGCTTTCAATATAATATAAGAACGGCTAATGGCAGCAGGGTAATTAGTGCCACAATCTTAATTATAAATAGTTGAAATATGAATCCAGAGAGTAATATATATTTTAAAAAAATCAGAAATATTAATGCATGCTTCAGTTTCTTGAAAAAATGAAGAGATCTAATATAAAACCATACCTCTATAATTTTTAAAAGTGATTGCTACTATGCATGCTTTAGTTACAAAAAAATAAGATATATATTTTAAAACGATAGATCTATAATTTTTATACATATTTCTCCGATGCATGCTCTTTTTTAAAAATAAATTAACAGATCTAATATGAAATCATAGATCTATATTCATTTAAACGGGTTGCTTTCAAGCCCCGTACAGTTTAAGTTTAAAATTTCAGTAAATCTTACTTTAAAAACTATTTTTGAAAATAATATCCGATATATAAATCTATTTAAAAACGCATGCATGTCTATAACCCGGTAGATCTATCCATCTAGGTCGGAAATCTTTAACATTTAACAAGATGAATAAATAACAAACAGATCTAGGGTTTCATACTAAAGTATGAAAAAAGGTAGATTTTTCAAAGCCGAAGCGAACAAGAAGATAATTTTCACACTGAATTGAATACAATTACCCGGTGAAGGAAGGTTTTTGTCGGAGACAGAATACACAAAATCACATCGCTGCCAGTGATTTTACAATCACACAATTGAGATACATCACACTGCGTTCAATATATGTCGATTTTGTGTATCGACGACTGAAACCGTGGAATTAAAGGAGTAATAATCGCTGGAATGTTTGGAAGCATCCCCATCGAAACATCTAGAGAGATGGAGAAGGCGGCGATAGTGGAAAATGTAGATCCGCGATATAGGCTAGGATAAAAGTTATTTGTACCCAAGTTTTTGTACCCCACTTTGTACACCGTAGGTTTGCACCAACATTTTGTGTTGGTATAAAACTAATTTTTGTTAATGCACCAACACTTTGTGTCCGTGTAAATTTTTGTTAACGCACCAACACTTGTGTCGGTGTAAACCATCAAAATGTTTGTGTGTAATTCCAGGGTACAATTTTCGGTGTAAGTGTAGCATGGTCCTATAGGCTATGTTTTTTTTTTTTGAAAGTAGTCCTATAGGCTATGTTAGTGTGGGAGTTTGTATATTTTAGGTATGGGTTGGGTTTGGGTGGTTTGGGCCGAATATAACGGCCCAATTTTTTTTTGGGTTTTCAATTACAATTTGTATTAAAAAATAAATTACTTTTAAAGAAAAAAATAGTGTATGAATTATACTCTTAAATGTTACATTTTGGAAACATAAATTTTCAAGAAATCCAGAAAAAAATGTGTGGCTCAAGGTAATCTTTATACCTAATCAAATAAAAGAAAAGATTTAACAAATGTATGCATCTAATTTGAAGAGTTGAATGTATAGCTATAAAACTGCGTGCTTTATTATTACTCTTTATGAAAAAACAAAAAAACAAAAGCTTGAAAAATTGATGCTAAATGTTTTTGAGAATCGAGAAAAAGAAATGTGTGGCTTAAGGCAATCTCTATGTCTAATCGAATAAAAGAAAAGAAAACCCCCTAAATAGGAGTAAAACATGGATCATATCTTTAAAATAGGAGTTCAAACTTAAACTCCTCTAAATAGGAGTAATTAATTAATTATATGTTTGAGTCAACCGACAAGATCAAGAATTGCCAGAAATTGTTCAATTTGAATGAATAGATGTGAATAATGAAAGTCGGAAAACCAGAGCTACGCTGAATCCGAAGAAAGAGAAAACACCAACAAGAGCTTCTTAGCTCATCATCTTCTACTGAGTACTGCTATGCATTTCTATGCATGTATCATTAGAGTAGGCCATCCAATCTTTGTTTTATTAAGGAACATTTAACCATTATCAATAGCCACCGCCGTATATATATGAAATGGTGCCGAAGATTAGTTCTTTTTTTGCTATAATAATAAAAAAGGTAACAGTGAAGATTAATTAGTCTACCAGTAAAACTTTCGTTGCATGCTTTTAGTGAGTTGTAGAAGATTATTATTACATTTCAAGTATCTACTACACAGTGTCATTAGATTTGGTTTATCATTATGTCATTGTGTAACATTGTAACATTATATATGAGTATATGTGGCATTATATATGGGCATCTATGGTATTATATATTGTCATATGTGACATTGCATGGTGCCATATTTGACATTATTATTTATTTCTTTGACACTTTATTGACTATTAATGTGGCATTGTGGCGACGATGGTACAGATTGTGATGGTAGTATTGTTGATAATGGTATAGAGCGGTGATATCGTCGGTGGTGCCCACGGCGGTGGTGGAGATTCAAGTGATAATGGCAGGTATGTGGCGGCGGCGGTGGGCATCACCGTCGACGACGATTGCGGCAGTGAGTGTCGCTGTCCGTAGCATTATGTTGTGAAATTGGCCGAATTTTTTTCCTTTTGAACTTGGCCACCACTGGTATTGGCTGTAAATGCAGCGCGTGTGGGAGCATTTTTATTAATTAAGTTAAAAATTTTTTTAAACCTTTTATAAAAAAATAAAAAAATAAAAAACTCAAAAACTTAACTGCAAAAAAAAAAGTTGCATGCAGTGGGTAATCGTGCTCCTTCATATAGTTGCATGCATCTTAAAAAAAATGTGCGTGTTGGGACCTTTTTTTGATTAATTATGTTAATTACTCCTATTTAGAGAAGTTTAAGTTTGAACTCCTATTTTGAGAAAATGACATATGTTTTACTCCTAGTTTGTTGAAAGTTGGATGTGCAGCCATAAAACCGCGTGCTTCATCATTACTCTTTATGAAAAACTGGAAAAATAAAAGCTTAAAAAATGAAGGCTTTATGTTTTTGAGAATCGAGAAAAATAAATGTGTGGCTCAAGGCAATCTTTATGTCTAATCAAATAAAAGAAAAGATTTCACAAATATATGCATTTATTGTTGAGAGTTGAATGTGTAGCCATAAAACCGTGTTCTTCATTATTACTCTTTATGGAAAAACAAAAAAGTAAAACCTTGAAAAATGCATCCTTTATGTTTTTGAGAAAAAGTAATGTGTGGCTCAAGACAATGTTTATGTCTAATCGAATAAGAGAAAAAAATTAATAAATATATGTATTTATTGTTGAGAGCTCGATGTGTAACCATAAAACCGCGTGCTTCATCATTATTCTTTATGGAAAAACGAAAAAAACAAAAGCTTGAAAAATGCATGCTTTATGTTTTCGAGAATCAAGAAAAAGAAATGTGTGGCTCAAGGCAATAGTTATGACTAATCAAATAAAAGAAAAGATTTAACAAATATATGCATTTAATGTGGAGAGTTGGATGTGTAGCCATAAAACCGTGTGCTTCAACATTACTCTTTATGGAAAATCGAAAAAAGTAAAAACTTGAAAAATGCATGCTTTATATTTTCGAGAATTGAGAAAAAGAAATGTGTGGCTCAATGCAATCTTTATGTCTAATGAAATAAGAAAAATATTTAACAAATACATGCATTTAATGTGGAGAGTTGATTACCCCATACTACATGCTATTTATACCCATGAAATTTTAGTTTTCAGTCATGGTTAGATATACCTAAGTTGCTAAGTCGCTTTTCGTGTTACCAAACATAGATTTTGGTTCCAATGTTCAACTGCGGACATAAATTTTTTATCTCAACAATAGCTTGAAGACAAAAATTGAAATCATTGTTTCAAAGCTATGTTTTTTAGTGTTTAGGAATTACTATAGGATAACTCAATAACTTATGAATATTAAATACGCAAGAATTTCTAAAAATAATTTGCTTCCAGGAAATGTGTATATTCACATAAAACTTATGTCCGGTCCGTGCAACGCACGGGGTCGAATACTAGTAAAAGTACAATACAATGATGAAATATAGAGTGGGAAAGTGAGAGGTTTTATAAAGATATACGTAATAAAAACAATAATAATTATCCAAAGTAGAATTTAATTGACCTTTTGGTTGAGGTGTTCTTTGACATAGTATTAAAGGTTTATGAACCATGAGATCATGAGTCCGAGCATTATTACCATCTAAATTTTATTTTTAAATTAAAATTTCACAAAAATGGCTCGAAGTGATTACATCTACACGCAAAAGGCATGCTAAAATATACCACTCAGTCCCACATAACGTTACTACTTAAACATCTTATATGCTTCAAAAACCTTTTCATTGTTTATTAGAAAGTCATTTGCATCTCTACTAATTTTTACGCTACGTCAGTATCTATCACGTTCACTATTAATTCACTAATTACATTCTAATTTTATCAATATATCCAAGAGCAAATTGGGTAAGTCTAACATCTCATTTCAAAAACTCTCTAAAAATAAAAATAAGAAGTATCTCATGGGGTGAAGTCATGAAGGTAGTTACTAATTTTTTTGGATGATTTATAAGATTTTCTCATTTTATCGAGAAAATATGTCTAAAATAATCCATAATTTTCAATGACTTTTGATGGGCATATGTTGATATTTACAAAGAAAAAGGAATCTAAAAGTTGGGCCAAACCGGTACAGGGCTTACACTATTGACTCTTGATGGGCCACAGGGCTCATCCAGATCCAATACATCAAAGGAGGCGTCTTTAAACGCCATTTTCAAATTTCATCTCTCTTCAATTCAAATCTCAATTTCTACCCACAGATAACCGCACGAACGCCCCTCCGATTCTATAATCCTTCTTCTTCTTCTTCTTCTTCATTCTTTCAGATCTCTCTTTGTCTCTCTACAGATTCTTGTGTTTCATCCTCGTTCTTTGTGTTCTTTCCCTCTTCGTTTTCTCTAGTAGGTTAGGGTTTTGAATTTCTTTCGTACCAGAACTTGGTGATCCCTATGTCGACTTCGACGGTGTCGATTACGGCGGCGAACCCGACTGCGCGTCGGAGGCCGGTTGTCTCTACGGAAAGGAAGACTGCGAACATTGAGATTGTGGCCAATGATGTTGGTGTTTCTCCCGTCACGCCAAATCCCGGACCGGGCCGAGATGAGAAACTGGCATCCGCAGGGATTTTTAGGGATTTGAGTCACCACTCTCTTCGCGGGGAGGCAGTTGTGGATAGATCTCCAAAGGATTTCGTGCAAGCCAAGAAAGCGGTGGGGAATTCGACCACGGTTCACAGGCGAAGTAGTAAGGTTCTTTCAAAGCCTGCTAAGCCTAGGTGGCTTCGGGTTTTGAGTGTTTTTGGGAAGAATTTTGTGCTTCTTCTTCTGCTTGTGGGGCTGGTTCAATTGATTCGGAGACTGGCTCTGAAGTCTGATGAAAATGTGGTGGGGCCCCAACCAGGACTGGTGGAATTCGAGGGTAGAATTGCCGATGTGGAATCACTTTTGAAAAAAACGGCCAAAATGATTCAGGTGCAAGTTGAAGTTGTGGACAGGAAGATTGAGAATGAGATTGGGGGTTTGAAGAAGGAAATGGATAAGAAAATTGATGATCAAGGTGTCGTTTTAGAGAACCAGATGAGGAAATTGGAAGCCAAGAGTGAAGTACTTGAGAAGTCGTTGGATGATTTGAAGGCAGGGGAGTGGTTGTCCAAGGAAGAGTTTCTGAGTATTTATGATGAACTAAAGAGGTCAATGGGCGCTGATCTAAGGGAGGCAAGCTTGGATGAGGTAAGACGGTTCGCAAGAGAGACAATTGAGAAGGAAATTGAGAAGCATGCTGCAGATGGGCTTGGCAGGGCAGATTATGCAGTTGCAAGCGGTGGAGGCAGGGTTGTCGAGCATTCAGAACCATATACAGTGGGTAGGGGAACTAATTGGTTTTTACTATCAGCAGAAAATGGTGTTCATACCAATGCTGATAAAATGTTAAAACCAAGCTTTGGAGAACCAGGTCAGTGTTTCGCCTTGAAAGGGAGCACTGGGTATGTGCAGATCAAGCTGCGTACAGCTATCATTCCAGAGGCTGTTACTTTGGAGCATGTTGCAAAGGTGATGTCTTTATACACATGCCTGTTTCAATATCAGTATGCTTTTTTTTAGTGTCATGAGTCATGATAAGAAAGCAAGCCAAATATTATATGCATTTTTGTTGATTAGATTTGAACCAACACTTAGTTCACGTGCACACAGGCCGCACACACTTATGCCTTTTCTCTTTATGCACCAAAGTAAGTTTATATATAGGCATGATGTGCTATGAAACACGATTAAACATCCTGAGTAGTACATGTCAACTAAATACAACTAGATCATAACCATCCCTTTGTTTTGGGTTTTTATTAGTGTAGGTGGTTGCTTCTTACTTTTAGAGGGTACAATGTGCTTTTCATGCTCTTGTGGTGCTAAATACTGTCTTTAAATGAAGATTTTTTTAGTTTTTGAAATTTTGATGGTTTTCTGGTGTCTTCAGAAACAGTGTTGACAAATTTGTAGATGAATGTATATACTATATACTGCCCAAACGTGCTTTCCTATATAGTTTTCATGGCTTTAGTTCTTGAGTATTGGTACTGGTTTGTACAGATGCTTTATACATGAAATGACTATAAACTGATTTATAGCAATGACCATAGTCGAGGGCTCGTCATCTTTCTGCTCATATTTCTGTATACTTGTCGACGTTGTCGTTCAGGAGAGAAGATGCCATGTTCTATTTTATGCCGTTGTGTATATTGGTGCCATATTTATTCCTTGAATTTTATTCCCTCCATCCCAAAAAAGTCTCCTCATTTCCTATTTGGGGCAGTGGGAGTATAAATTTCCTTTTTGATGTCAGTATCTTGGGTAGTTAACCATTAGACCTAGGTTTGGTGTTTTGCTTATTCTCTTATGGATGGATTTGTTTAGTTTTTAAGTTGTACTGTTCATTGTCAAACAAACACCTCAAGCATGGATTTTCTCATGCTCTTCCATATATTGAAGCCTTTTAATTTTGACACTACCTCTTCATAACTGTTTTGGAAAGTTTTAAAGATGAAAGGATGACTATTCATTACTTATTTGACTTTATTTTTATCGACATTATGTGTGATATTTTTTATGCCCAAGTGACACATGGTTTGAATTTGTACTTTTTATTTTGTCTTCCCTTTATTTCATGTGCAGACTTCAATTTGGAATTAAGAGTTTGTTTTGTACAGTGATGACCCAAATGGCCTTGCGTAATACATGATGCATTATGTTAATTCTAACATTTGTCATTTTAAAAATTTAGTAATGCTTTCTTGTGTTTTATCTGCATCTTCTTAAACCATCTTTATATTTCATCAAATCCTACAAGCCAATTTTACCTCGACTTACTGTATAAAAAAATTGGACAACCTTGTTAAAAAAGTTCACTCAACTTCCTCTTGATATGGGCTAAAGAACTTTTTACTAACTGTAGCATAGGTATCCTACTTGTGTGTTCTACTAACAGTTACACTGCTCGTTTTAGTGTAATATATGATTTTATTATATCCTTTAGAAAACCAAAACTGGCCAAATTAATAGGTCTGTTTTCAATGAATTCTAAAAGTAAAGAAACAAATGAAAAATTAAAATCAAGGATTTTCTTTAATGAGATGTGAGCACTTAATGTATTTCAGGTTTCAACATTCAGCTTTTTGAAAGTATTCTTTCAAACCTGAAAGTATCATCATATTTTAAGTCCTTTTAGCAAAAATGTTCACCGCAGCAGAGATTTTGGCCTTTCTGTTCTTCTCAATTTTTTAACAGTCACCTATGCCTTTGATCAAGAAGGTTTTGTTTTGCCATATGTTATCATATGTTCCATCGCGTCTCTTATGCTAAACTTTTGTATTTCACCAGAGCGTCGCGTATGATAGATCAACTGCTCCCAAGGAATGCAGGGTCTCTGGCTGGCTGCAAGGGGACAAAGATGGCTCTGTTATGGAGAAGGAGAAGATGTTTCTGTTATCAGAATTCACTTACAACCTGGAAAGGAGCAATGCCCAGACTTTTGATGTGTCAGACTCAGGCAGTGCTGGTGTTGTTGACACGGTAAGGCTCGACTTCACATCGAACCATGGGAACCCTTCACACACGTGTATATATCGTTTTAGGGTTCACGGACGCGAGCCTGGTGCCCTTTCTGTGATTGCAACGCAGTCTATATGAAACATTTCGGTGTGGCTTGAATTTTTAGTTTGTTTAGATGTTTGTTAGTGTCGCGTTCTTAGGTTGCGTGACGTACTTGTCGATGTTCTTTGTTAGAGTGTTTCCTTTTTATTCTGTATATTGTGTAGAGTTTTGGCAATTTGGGCAAAATGACATGTTTGTATGTTTTCTTTTGGAAGCATTGTTTCTCCTAAACAAAAGGTGTGAAGCACTTGAATTATTTGCCATTCTACTCCGTACTTGTGTGTGGATATTAGAGCACTGGTAGTACCCCTCACGCCCACCGGCGTTACGGGGCGTTTAACGCCCCGGGGGCGTGAAACACCGCCCCCCGCCGGCGTGAAACGGGCGTGAGGGCGCCTGCGTCATTCGTTTGACGCGGCGTGACTCTTGCGCGGCTCCTCCTAACGGCTAAAAAAGCCGTGCAGCCCACATTTCAAAAAA